CCAAATATTGAGTATTGTCAAAGTCAAATGTAGGCGTAGCTTAACGTACCGAGTGGAGGTCCTGCAAAGTTATTTATTTGGACATCTATGGTTCGCTATTCTAATCACTACAGATCCTTGTTTGTGACCTTAGAGTATATGATTAGTAAGATTACTTCTAGAGAATAATACATCTGAACAATCTAGTTGACCCACCGCTTTTCCGGGGAAGTCCAGCGGAAGTTCCCGCCGAACTTCTTGACCCACCGCACTTCCGGGGAAGTCCGGCGGAAGTTCGCGCCTCTATATGAGTTCGAAGTTTGGCTTCATCTGAATCCCTTACACCTAACAACTTTCCTGTTTCGTATTTCACTGCTTTAATTATTTACACTTCTTTTCTTCAAGATTGTCGTTATCCTGGAGTGAATGGCAGTTTTCCTCAGCACGAGCTCCTTGTCACGCACACATGATTATATCCAGCAACAGCGGTTTCCGACAGTTTATGTTGTCCATGCTAAAGTGCTTCGACGTCACAGACAGCTTGCAGCGAAAGCTGAGATTGTCGTGTTTTCGTGCTAACTCCAAGTCTTGATTCAAAAATTTTTGAGCAGTTGCTATGTCAAAATTATTACTGTTTGAAAATTTAGAGTTGACTTTTGTGCTTTCGATTATGGGATTTTCAGAAGAGTAGATCAGATTTGCTAGATAAGAAAGGTCCTTAGTAAAGCCAAAGTCATCTAACTCTACCTCTTCCTTCGACTTTTTACTTTTTACTTTTTGCCTCTCCATTTCCTTTCGCGATCGTTTCCTATCGACCTTGAATGTATCATCTTCAAGGATTGTAAATACCAAACAAAACCTTCGCATGGTGTTCCACGCAAATTTCTTCAAGAAATCATTCAGAGGTAAATCGTCTCATGGTGCGCATGAGAATGGAACAGGTGAGCAAGTGGAAAACACTTTTACAAAATGGTGTAGAAAACAATACGTCACCTATCGTATGGGCAGCTAACACGAGCCCACAACGGATAGATGTACGTGACTAGCGACCCTATGGGCCGCTAACAGTTTGGCAGGGGCAAGCACTTATCAGCCGCCTAGCTGTGACCACGAATTTCTCTACATTTTATACCTTTTCTTAGAGCTACATGTGAAAACCCAGTTTATGAGGGAGTGTCGCAAACGCCGAGATTCTACAAATCATTCAATAATTCTCGAAAGTCCTATCACAACCGTACGAGGATTTGAGAACACAAAGTTGATAGGTTTTTTCAAGATTACGCCCTCCCATCGAGACTCTCCACAGATTCATTCCTAAATTAAAATTTCCCCTCACCGTGCCTTTTATAAGGTGACTTTTAAGGAGCCCTTCAGCTGACATTATATGAAATTATGACGAAAATCGAATCATGGAAACAAGGTCTTCTTTTCAAATGAAAACCCGTGATAGACCATGATCATAACATCTGCTAGCGCTATATTTATCATAATATCTTGCGAATTCTGAACTTCTGACTTCCATCTATAAATCATCTTGGCCAAATTTTCCTGACAATCTCCATTTAAAGTCACCTCGAAAGCAGTCAACCTCAAAACGGATATCGTACAAAAGACTCACTCAAAAAATACAGTTCTCAGAAAATTTGACCAAAATAAATTCCCTTGTTTTCTCATGCCCTCAGCCATTTACAGATCTTTTTTGTACAGAACGCTCCACAAACCGCCTATAAAGCGATATACAGAGTGTCCCAAAAAGATGTGCACACTGTTTGATCGTTAATAACTCTCTTGCTTTCATGTCTTTCGCCGAGCTCGAGGTACCATTCTGTAGAGCGAGGACAAACTTAGGTTTACAGTATTAAGCAAAACTCTAAACTCTTTTTGCTACTGTGGGATTACGGTATGAACTTTCAGCATACAGCACCACTGTAAAATAAGCCCTTTGATGAAATAAATTTTGAAAAAATCTAAAAAATCGCGTAGCAGGGTTTTCAGGCGTGCTGATTTCACTACATAACCTTCCATTAGTTTTTCGAGCTTTCTTGATGGCGTATTCACATTTCTGCTGAACAATGGAAAATCAGTTGTTACCCAATCTGAAATAACTCATGAAAGAAACAATATACTGAAGTGCAGTTTTCATATTTAGAATCAGCGACTACGATTTACCCTGTCCAAGAGTTTCTGGCTTATTTGGCTTCTTTCTGAGGCAAATACAGCTTTCCATTGTTTAATCCTCCTCGAAATTCTTACCGTAATCCTACATTAATGAAAAGCGGCTGATAAGTCCCTCCATACTATATATTTAAGTTTATCCTCGCTCTTCAGAACAGTACCTCAAGCTTGGCAAAAGACATGAAGGCAAGAGAGTTATTGACAATCAAACAGGGTGCACATCTTTTTGAGACGCCCTGTGCATGGGAACTTTCCTACAGAAGAAAGAGACTGCCCTACAAGCCGCCCACAGACCGATATTTATGACAATTTATAAGAAGGAAAAAGTGTGATTTGCTTACCAGCCAATATTCGAAAAAACAGCTCTATAAGTCTTCTACCCAGCATTGAGAAGGAAAACTCCCCTAAGGCCGTATACAGAATGTTATTTTGGCTGTACCATTCGAGACTTACAAACTTTTGGGGCATAACTGCCATAATAGGTCTCCCTATAAACCAATATTTCAAAAACCAAAATCACGTCTATAACCGTGGACTGGTTTAGATGTTATTTCAAGGAAAAAACTACCCTTTGGCCCCTGCAGAACTATAATCAATTACCAAAAGAATCATCTACCCTATAGGCCACTTACAGACCATTATACTGGGGAAGTGCTGTCCTGTGGCCTGCTTACAAATTAACAAACTTTCAAAAATACATTTCAAAGAACTGCCCTGTGAGCTTCTATTATACTGAAAAAAATGCCCTATGGGCCGCTTACGGACCGCCTTTCGAGAATAATTCGAGAAAAGGGTGCCTGTGCACTGCACACAGACCGATCTTTCAAAAAAGCACTGCCCTACAAACTCTCAAATCCGCAAAAAATGTTCTAAGAACCAGTTAGAAACCAACTTTTCAAGGAAAAACCGTCCTACCTGTCCCCATAAACCAATATTTTGAAAAAACAAAAGACCGATGTTTATAGAAAAAGTTATTGCCTTATAAGGAACTGATGTTTTCAGAAAGGGCTACTAGCCCCTTCAAACCCATATTTAAGAAAGAATCGCCCTATGGACCGCTTACAGACCGCGGCCGTTAATTACAATCAAATGCCGTATGGACCTCTCGCAGACCAGTGTCTTGAAAGTAACTGCTATGAGGCACTGTCCTACAAATCCTACAAACGTGTTCCACGAGCCGCTTGCGGGGAGATCTGCTCTATGAAACGCCAACGCACCGTTTTTGAGAAAAAATATAGAGGCCTACCAGCTCCTTAAAGACCTATAGTAACAAACCAACATTTCGAGAAACAACGAAAAGACTGTCCTCATTGGTCTTTTATTGAACCAGAGATCGATACTTCAAAGAAAAATGAGAAGTGAGCAGATTATTGCAGCATGTACATAAACGTGAGGCCATACAGCATGTCGACAGCTAGACAGGCATGGGGCTCCAATACCAAAAACTCAAAACAAGGTTCGAATTCAGTCATATGCGCAGGGTTCAATCTTGTTAGCAACCTTACGAGAGTGTCGGCACCTTCCCATACTATAGCCTTTTTGTACTTAGTAGTCACACCCTTTTCGAAAACATTCCTCGAGGAGGGACGATGCTCACTCTCTATGAAAACACGCTAGCCTTGTTGGTAAATCTGTTCCCTCCGCACCCTCCGCAATCACTCGCCTCAGTCCGTAACTTGTCAACATGTAAGTGCAAAACCTTGCCATTCTATTAGAATGATCGATACTTCAAAGAAAAATGAGAAGTGAGCAGATTATTGCAGCACATAAACGTGAGGCCATACAGCATGTCGACAGCTAGACAGGCATGGGGCTCCAATACCAAAAACTCAAAACAAGATTCGAATTCAGTCATATGCGCAGGGTTCAATCTTGTTAGCAACCTTACCAGAGTGTCGGCACCTTCCCATACTATAGCCTTTTTGTACTTAGTAGTCACACCCTTTTCGAAAACATTCCTCGAGGAGGGACGATGCTCACTCTCTACGAAAACACGCTAGCCTTGTTGTTAAATCTGTTTCCTCCGCACCCTCCGCAATCACTCGCCTCAGTCCGTAACTTGTCAACATGTAAGTGCAAAACCTTGCCATTCTTTATTATAGAATGATTTGTAACAAATTTCCGCGCGGAATCTCTCCTGTGATGTACCTTTTACCTAAAGCACAAAATCTTGCTTGTGACAAGTTCTTTATGAGCAGCTAATGGGACTCAAAAGCAAAAAAAGTTTTTCGGCATCCACTTGATCCCTCGGTCATGTGTCCTGTGCAGAAAATTTTTTTCTCTTGGATAAATAGCACCTGCAGCGCTTCTTAAACGCTCAAGTGGTTAGAGACACCCTTCAAGATACTGTGATTTCTAACAATGAGATCGGTGGGATACGGTAGTAAGCGCTCATAGAACGTTCGCTTCGGGAAGTTATTGATTGGCCCACCACACCAATAAATAATTTCCCGCGCAGAGGGTAGGGAAACGAACTCCGCCAGTTAGAGCCCACCTTCGCTGGCAATTGTTCCTTTTACAACATAGTTTCATATCGTTGCGGGACCAGTAGCACCAGTAGTCCGCGAAAGCGGTTCAGATTGGCGGACTCCGTCCACCTACCCCCGCGCAGGCAGATAGGACGAGAGAGTGTGGTGAGAGTGGAGCGCCCAGACTTACATGATTGGCTAATTGTGGCAAACGGGAAACTCGTCCACGTCCTCAAACAACAATGCAAATTTTCAAAAGATATTTCAACTTAGAGCTTATGCCCAAGTTTGGAATGATGGAAAATCTGGATAGATTCAAAATTTTTATATTCTGTATTTGAATTATTGATTTTAGCAATGATTAGAATTTTGTTCTAGATCGTCTCCATGTTGATCAAAAATCCACCACGTGTACTACTGTAGATAGGCCAACATCCCTCCCCTCCACTTCTATGTAAGTTATCAAATTTCAATTTTTTGTTTTCATTTCTCGTTTGCTCAAGGGCCAGGCATATTTCACGCAATATTCGCGACGCGATTTGGCAGTAATCCAACTGTCCATAACTCATTGTAAGCGCATTTTAAATGTACAGAAGATAGGGCATTTCATCAATTCATAGTTATTCAAACTATGCATGTGCAGTTTGCTAGTGTTGGATCTTTTGGCGAGTTGCCAAATCGCGTCGCGACTGAAGTCGCTGAAGTATGCCCGGCCCTTTACCCTTCGAAGAATGATCAAAGTTGTATGACATCTAAGACGTCCACGTTGTCCGTGCCAGCGCCGAACAGGAGTATTCAAATCGAAACCCAGCGCGTGCCAGTGGCACGACGTTGGCACGGTGCTGGCATGGATCGGGCGACTCTGGACGCTGCCTAATGGTAGCTATATAATTATCAACCGGTTTTCTAGCCCGGTTGACCCCACCCCGTCTGGCGTGACCAATGTCCGCATTGATGATCGACCCCTTGAAATACCAAGTGATCACTCGACGAGTAATGGTCATACGCAAAAAGGTGAAAATAGCGAGATTAGCGAGTGTGAGCGCTTTCTTCACCTTTAACTTGTGTGCAAATTGCAGCATTACTAACAAATTTTTAGCCTTGAACAGCTCTGAATCAACTAAGACCGATGGAGAAAGTGCATACTTTGATCCAATGGTTGAAGCAAGTCTTTTAGAGGGTTATGTAGGTATTGAAGCTAAGGTAAATCTCCTTTTATTTTATTAGGCTCATTTGACAATAAAAAATTCTTGCTTTTCAGGAGCCAAATTTGGCTGCCAAACCTGAGAAACCAGTGTTGAAAAAACCTGGCCAACCTCCAAGGTTGCGAATACGGAAGAGAAATAATGAAGCAAAAGCTGCCAAAGGCGATGCTGTGATGAATAGGTAGGTTACACTCAATGTTTGGCGTTACCGCTCGCTCGTTATTGGCTAGGTCCGCCCTTCAGAGCAGCTTTGATTGGTTGGCGGCATTCAGGTCAATAAATCGATTGATATTTTTATGTTATGTTACTGATCTGTTGTAAATAACACATCACACATTTAACACCTTCAAATGTAGTAGTAGAAGGATTTGGAAATATTCGTATAGAACACAAAATGGGGCGTGACAGAGGGCGGAGCTTGAAATCGCTCTTTTTTTTGTGTCTTAAAAAACTAATGTGAACATGACTATTCATGGAATTTTTTAGAAACTCACAAAATTATCGTCAGAAAGAAATTATTTATGGATTTAGTATCCAGATTTCTAGCAATTCTTTGCCCACCTGCTAGTGAACAACTAATCTCAAAGGTGCTAGAGTCGCAGACGCTCGTTTCGGGACCCGCTCGGTTTCCCGCCATTTGATGATTTTTGAATGCATCTTACGATTCTTTATGTATTAGATTGCTTTCGGATTGAGCGTAATATTTTTTCACATTACTTGTTGTTTTAATTTTTTTGTTTTCTTTGGATTTTTTCTTGTTATCTCGTGTCAAACATGTTTTAGACATTGTAGGACTGATCTACCAACTCGTCTAACCGATGACAGTGATAGCGATAGTCCGATCGTGTACAGAGACGACGATGAACCACCTCATCATCATCGACATCCCGCAGCTGCACCGGCTTTACATGAAGACGATGAAGAAGAGGATGTTCCTATAAGTGAGATTTAAGCTTTGTCCTTGAGTAACACAAGAAAAAATTTTCGACGCTACATTGAGGGGGTCAAGTTTCACTTAAATGAGAGATCTGTTGACTTTGGGGCGAAAGTGAAGCGCTTCCGCTCTGCAGAGTTGGTTTTTTGTCAAGCTTGAGAACAAAGAACAGTTTTTGCAGTCAAGTGGTTGCTTTAGCGGGGTCCGTCCCCCCCCCCCCCAAGCATAGATTGCGAAATTTTCTGAAGTAGCGTGTTTGGTTATAAAATTGCACGCATAAGAGAGTTTGCAGAATTTTGAAAGCTCGAATTACCTTTTTTGAAAAGGTCCGCAAAAATCTTGTGAAACTTATCTTTTTGGGAGTTCAAATCGGTGACGCTTTAATCCATACAGAAAGAATTATTGGCGCCTTTTTAAAACATCAGGGAGCCATTGGGATTTAGCTTGTCGTGTTAGTTGTTTTGAGAAAGTACCTAATTACAAATTTTGCGCCAAATTTACCAAAGTTGTGCAATTGCACACATACTCGGTTAGCCAGTTGACCATATTTCGTCTGAATGATTAAGTAAATCAACTATTTATATATTCTATCACGTACTAGAGAAATTCCCATTTATGCAATAAGATTCCCTTCCCCCCTCGGCCAACATATACAGGGTGTCCCAAAATAATGTGCACACCGTTTGATTTTGAATAACTGCTTTGCATCGATTTTTCTTGCGGATCCCAAGGTACCATATGAAAGGGCGGACTAACTTAGATTTGCCGTATATGGCGAATCAGCGATCTCCACTCATTACTGTAGGTTTACGGTAGGAAATTTGGAGTGGTTTTTGGGCCTTTGACGGGCAAGAAAAGCGTAAAAATTCTTAGAAAATTGGAATAGGCACGTTAAAGTTTCTGGAGATGCAGAATCTTATTGCGACATCAACCTTACCGTAACCTACCATAGAAACCCTAATGTGCCTATTCCAATTTTCTAAGAATCTTTACGCTTTTCTTGCCAGTCAAAGGCTCAAAAACCACTCTGACCTACCGTAATTTTACAGTAATGAGTGGAGATCGCTGATTCGCCATATACTGTAAAGTTAGTCATAGCCTTTTTATATGGTACCTTGGGATCCGCAAGAAACATCGATACAAAAGCGTTATTCAAGATCAAACAGTGTGCACATTATTTTGGGACACCCTGTATTTGTAAATCTCAAAATATTTCTACGTATTTAAATACACCTTCCTCCCCGTGATTTAACTTTTGATTCTACTGGCTTGGAGGCTGGAAGGCGGGGCTTTGTGACCTGATGAAGGTCGCTCGCGCCCGCTCGCAGTCTGCGTCTCTCCCGCGCGCGTGCTCTCTGATCATTACTAGGCCACGAAGCCCCGTCTTCCTGCCGCCAAGCCAGTTGAATCAAAGCTTTCTTAACTTATATGAATTTTCTGTCAGCCAAAAATATAAATTTGATTACGCCTTTTCAGGTGATTGAATTGACTTATCTAAATTTTCTATAAAAAACATATAAAACATATACGCTTTTGCCTCCCTCCTCCCTCGCTCCTTCCCTTCCCATTCCTCCTCCTCCTCCTTCTCGAGTCAAATTTTACCAAGTGATGCTCGCCAAATAAAATGGAAAAACATCCCTTTCCTCTTTCGCTCGAAACTTTCTTAACCTTTCCACCACCTCCCCCTCACCCCCCCAAAAATCAATTTTTATCACAACAACCGAATTTCCCATCAAATAATGAGCTCTTTTTGCTGATCTCGGGCCGGAACGATTTCGTTCTCCAGGTGGCTTGGCGGCTAAAGTTCAACGAAAAGATACACTTGCTTTACGACTCGATGCACCACCGTGCGTAGATGATATCTCTGGACAAACAGCTGATGATCGTCGGACTCTAATGCACAAGGCATCGATAAAACTCGAGAGGTAACAGTTATCCAGGGTAAGGTTGATTTCACCCCTGACCTGTTCTCTTTCAGAAAACTGAGTGAGCGCCCGACAGCTGGAGAGTTAGAAGACAGGAATATTCTAAAAAGAGATGGAAAGACTATGGAGGAAAAGAGAAAGCTGTTGTTGAGAAAGGTGGGCCATAATTTTTGACGTTGTTTGTTTCTTGTAATCTTGCAGATATTCTAGGAAATCGATTTTCAGCTGAGTTTTCGGCCTACCATAGCGCAGCTGAAAGAACAACAAATCATACAGTTCAATGATTATGTTGAAGTGACACAAGCTCAGGTCTATGATCGTAAAGCAGATAAACCATGGACAAGGCTTACACCGACGGATAAGGTGGGAAATGCATCATCATATCAACTCCTCAGGGGCTTTCATCAGAACTTTCGCAAGACAAGCAAAATTTGCAGCGGTTCCGCAGGATCATTACGAAAGTGTAAACGTTTAAAGGAACTTCTGCAGGATTTTCAAGTGAGATTGGTTGGAAACGGGAAGTTCTGCAGGCCTTTTTACAAGCGGATGACATGTTTACATGCGGAGATTCCGAAAAATGCCAGCGGTTCTGCAGAGCTTTAATTTGCTAGTACTTCTGCAGGACTGTGAATATGTTGTGTTGAACATGTCATCCTAGTGCATAGGATAGCGAATGAATCTCACAGTCAATAGAGCATCGTTCGAATTTCGCTTAGGTGTTTGCTTTCGCTGCTGTGGTTCGCATTCTTCGGGACATCCGAAGTTCTCATTTGGAAACTTCTGGAGCACGTTCACGAACTTCCGAGGGTGACCGGGGGAACTTTCCCAAACCTTGTGCAGAAGTTCCGGTCACTTGCAAGAGTCTTTCTTGAATACATTTCCTAGTTTGTCCCAAATCCTGTCAGTGATTGTGCTTAGACTTCGACCTGCTTGAAGTCGGCACTATTTATCATATACCAACATTTTTTGTAAGTCCACTCCTCACTTACCCTGTCTAGAAAACCTGTGGATTTTTGTGGGATTAGTTCTATGGAGTAGTAACAAGATCTGATGTAAATTGCTTGACTTAGGCTTCATGTCATTTTTTTTGAGCCACCAAAACAATGTGAAATATTGTCTTTTACGGTCTCAAATTGAAGATTTTCACAAAGTCCTAGCTGTTCTCTCAAAATGTAGTGTTATTTCAACTAATATCTTTCAGGCTCTTATTCGTAAAGAGCTCAACGACTTCAAAGCTCTTGAGATGGATGTGCATGAAGAAAGCAGGATATTTACGAGGTAATAAGGAAGTTTCGAATAATAGTCGAAAGCCCGTGTTTGGCGGTTAGTGCTTAAAATCGCTGCGTTGTAAAAACAGTACTTAGATTCAACAGTTTTAATGCATGTTCATACTAAAAAGTAAAAGATTAGTGAGCACTTTAGATGGTTTTGGACCCCTTTTTCACTTTGGCTGCAATTTTCTCAAATATGCTCGAGTAATTGCCGAATTATTCCAGAATCTTATTATATACTAGCGTGCTCGAGTTTCTCCAATTTTGAATTTTTTTATTTTTTTCTTTATTTTCGGAGAAGAACAGCAAGTATACAAGAAAGCAGATTTTGATCTGTTTTCAATGCTTTTTGGATTCCTCCTACTGACTCTTTAATCCATTGGCGACGATGTGGACCACCGGTGGCCCAGGCACTCTTGCTTCCAGGGACGATGAGGGCCACTGGTGACCCACATCTCATGCGGGCATATCCTTTCCGGGTCCCGAAGTTTTTTTTGATTTTTTGAAGCCGGGGTAGTCTACGGGGCTTCGGATCCGTAAACTCTGTCGTCCACAAAAAATCATACATATGCTTACAAAACATCCCTACATCTCGTAAATAACCACAAAATGAATAACCACGAAAGTTTTGTGCGCGCACCAAGAATAATTTTTGGTTTTCAAGATTGTAAATGATCATAGAAATGTTTTAGACATGCATGCAAACCTCAACCGTCCCCAATTTACGCTAAAATTACATTACTGCAAAGAATGTAGGGAAATGCTACATAACGAGATTCTCTTATATATTCTTAACGTTTGTTTTCCTAGATGAAACAATTTTGAAAATGAACACAGGTGAAAGCATGCTAATCTGTAATCTACTTGAAGGTAACGTTTGAGGTTGTTACAAAGGAGGAACTGCAGCTAATATTTGTTGAATTTAGAGTAAAATACAAGAACTTACGAAAGACTGAATGATTAGAGAATCACGATTCAGTGACCTTGTCCAAACAGTAAGCTAAAGGTGCTAGGTCTGCGAGCTTTCGCTTCAGGACCCGCCGCGGTTTCCCGCTTTTGGAAGATTTTTGAATTGAGCTAACGATTCTTTACATATTAGAAGCGTTTTCTAATATCCGAGTATGTAGCATAGTTCGTGCAATTCTCTGAGTTTATACTCCATCATTTATCTCATAATCAAAACATATGTTTGATTATTTGTTTCATATCTCATAACTGTAACATATGTGATAAAATTAAATTCAACAACATTACACATAGTTCTACAATAAATTACTACTTCAGAACTAACAAACCCAACATATGTAATTGTGAATCAGAGAATGTGATTTATATGATAACATGTCTTACGTGTAACTTACAATATGTCGATGAGACCACACAAAAATTGAGATCAAGGATAAATCAACATAAGAGAAGCTTTCATAAATTCAACATGCTTACGTTTATGGTGGATCATTTCAAAAATACTGGGCATGACCCGGAGAACATTAGTGTAGATGTACTGGATTATGTTACTGAAATGGACAATACAAAAAACTCTTAAAGGCAATGGCTCGGCAAATCTCAACCTAGTCAAATTTGCGCTTACTTGGGGTTTGTCAATACGCTGATCCCGAAAATCCACTTTTGAAAGCTTGAAATCGGCGAAAATGAGCATTTTTAATGCCCTTCCCTTTGATATTGGACGAGTGGAACAAGGCCGATGACGCTAAATCGTGGCAGGACCCAATGGTTATAGCGTTGCGGCGGGCAGCCTCCAATGGTGGGAAGGAAATTGCCAACTCGTCCAGATGCGTGTAAGATTGGCCTGCGCGTGTAAGTTTGAGAGCGATTTTCCCGGCAGGGAAAGCGTGCTGTGCAACCGGGATTGCACTGTTTTCATATTTGGGCGATAAGGAACCTACCGCGTTAAAATCCCGGGTTTTTGGATTTTGCCGATCCACTGCCTTTAAGAGACAAAGAGCTTAAGTGGATACAATATATGGTCACTGCATATCCATTCGGATTTAATGACCAAATAAAAGGGTTTGGCAATATTTCTGACAATATCAATCCCCCAGAAAAAAGAGAACATCCTTAATTTAGATCTCCAGTCAGAAGAACAAGAAGGGGAAGAAAAAAAAAGAAGATCCAGGAGAAAGAGTACATGCTATGACAGAACAGAAGTAGTAATAACAACGTTAGATAATATGTGTAGTAATGCACTCTTCAGGTACTTTCGTACATTAAATAAAATGGATATAAATAGGCTTATCGAATACTCCTTTACGGCAGACTTTAATAAATTAACATTTGAACACAGATGCAAGATATATTCATTAATAGCCACTCTATTTTGGGGAAGGACGAAGACTTTAATGAAAGACAAAGACCAAATAAATATCACATTACCATACTTGGGCAACATTATGGAACGACTGGAACTTACTAGATTGAGCAACAGTGCTAGAGTACATAGAATAATTGCTGAACACATAAATACTAGGGACATCGATTTGAAAGACATCAGAGTAACAATCCGCTATAACTTACAAAAGCCTATAGGGCTTGAAATTTGTAATTATTAGATTGAACCGAAAGTTCGTTCGCACCATTTTCAAAAAATCATAACTTCTTTCCGTCACGACGATTTTGCGCAATTTAAGTTTTCTTAGAAAGCGTAAAGCATGTGGTCTAATTTTTCTTATATTTGATTACTAACTGAGTTAAGTTTGAGCTGATCGAGCTCTTCTATCAAAAGTTATGATTTTTTGAAAAAAATTCCGAAAAATCACTTTCCTAAGAATTCCTAAGAGATTGATTTTTCGGCGTTTTTTTTTTCAAAAAATCATAAGTTTTAAAAGAAGAGCTCGATTAGCACAAACTAAACTCAGTCAGTAATCAAATAAAAGAAAATTTAGGATAATGGCTTTTTTGGATTTTATCGCGCAGTTTCTAGATTTTTAGAATTTTCGCTCAGAAAATCCGAATTTCGGATGTTTTCGTTCCTTCATTTTTATCTCTGCAATCTGAACATGCTGGAAAGTCGCCAGAAGACTGTTGGAAACTACATGCTTCACGCTTTCTAACAAAGCTTAAATTGCGCAAAATCGTCGTGACGGAAAGAAGTTATGATTTTTTAAAAATGGTGCGAACGAACTTTCGGTTCAACCTAATATAATAACTTTCTCAGAAAGTTAGATATCAACCTTATTAATTTTATAGAGGATCAAGAATGTGTATGCGACAAATATGTTGGGTATATTGATCCAACTCATAAGCATGTCTGCACAGGGAGTATCGATTTTATGGATGACGAAAGATTGAAGAGTGCATTGAGAAAAGGAACTAAATATAGAAGACTCTCTATATTTGATAAAGAAGATGTTCTAAGCACGATAAAAGACCTTGTATCCCAACTAGTGGCAAAGTACATACATAAATTTAGAGCTAACTCTACAGCCAAGGAACAGTTAATACACAGCCTGAACCGTTACTTTAAGAACAAGATTACACCGAAATTGTATAATATGTATAACATGACAGAAATTGAAGACAACCAATATGATAAAAAAAAAGCCTTAAAGCAATTACACAAACACGTAATAACCCCAGTGGATAAGGCTAGTTCTAATTTTAGTTTTACCTGCAAAAAATTCTATATAAAAATGATGAAGAAAGAAATGGAACAAGCTAATAATGAAGGTAGCACCTATGAAAGCGCTAACTTTACAACTGAAGATATCCGGATGAAGCATGTAAGAATACTTAACAGTCTGAATATTGAACCTGAGGAAAGATTCCTCGAAATACCTAGAATTTATGGTATACCAAAGGTGCATAAGAATCCAGTTAAATTCTGATACAAAACAGGAGCAAGAAAAAGTACACTGAAACCTCTTACAAATATTTTGCAGCTCATACTTGCACATATAAGAAAACATTTTGCTAATTATTGTATGGTTATAGAGAACACAAATCAATTTCGTAGAGCGTGTTCCAGCCAACGTCCTGAGCCCAAGTTTTGCACATCGCATGCGACCAACATAAGAGCCTACCGTGCAAAAGCACGAGTGGTTTTGTTGGTTGGATCTTTCAGAAACTGCGCGTCAAACGAAACCACTTGGGTTCTGGCCAGCAAAATTGCTTCCGTATCACCACTTTTTGCAAAGTCGGTGATGTGTTTGGCATGCTGATGTGCAAGCCTTGGAATTAAGTCCAAAAAAGTGGACAAAAGTTCACTACTTTAGGAGAACGACGCCAAAAAGAAATGGTTGCGTAAATGATTAATTTGCCGTGGTTTTACCTGAGCATTCGAGAAAAATTTTGCACAGAGATGTAGCTCACGTTGCCTACTGTTCTTATGGTAGCTACCAAGCCAGAAAGAGTCCAAAAACCTATTCAAATTTGTATTTGTTCTTCTGCGAAAAGTTTCATCCACGCGAAATCACCGATCTCACATGAAAAAGCATTTCAAATGAGTAGTTGTTTACATTTTACTCGCGATAATCGGCAGCGGTGAGTTTCATTGCCACCTTTAGTCAAGAATGAGTAAGGCATATGAAGTGAGACCAGTGCGAGCCTCTGCGAAGCAGAGGTGACGCACTGGTCAGATAATAAGGGGCTCAGCCAAGTCTTTTTACTAGTCTACCACATAAGGTGGTAAAGTCTAATCTCAAGAAACTTTTACCCTGTGTATGAGATTTAAGTATATCAGAGTATGTAATAGAAACGTATCTTGTGTCAGTACGGTTACATTACATGGATAATATTTTCAATTGGAGGATATACTCTACATGATAGACTCCCTGCTAGACTCTAGGCACTTGAGTTTTGGAGGAGTCGTTTACCGACAAATTAAGGGTATAACACAAGGTGCTTCTTGTAGCCCACAAATGGCCGACCTAACATTGACATATATGGAATATGAATTTATGAAAAGACTGGCAATTACATCAAACAATTTGAGATTTTCTTTCAAGTATGCTTATAGATACATAGGTGATATACTTCACGTATCTACAAATGAACAGGAATTTGAAAGAGTTATTAAAGATATATATCATGATACACTTGAGATAGGAAAGACCAACAATAATTGCAAAATCACTAATTTCTTAGATTTACACATAAACAATTCTGAGAATTTAGTAAAATTCAGTCTTTATAATAAAACAGACAGCTATAATTTCAAAGTTATTAGATATCCTCAATGGAACTCCATCATACCTAGGTACATACTAATAAATACATTATCATCTGAGATGCTTAGAATTTACAGAAACTGCTCTAGTTACCCGGACTTCAAAGATAGAATAATTGAGTTGGGTAGAACATCCTTTGATAATGGATGGGAGTGTGGGTACTTTATGAACATACTATGTCGGGCTATGACAGATAGACCTTTCATTTTACGCAAATACGGGTTTGTAACGGCGATACATCTTCCTCTGATGCGCGAGCTACGCGCAGTGTGGACTAGTGCTAACGCGCCAGGATGACACTGTAAGATAGATTCAAATTCGACCTCATACACATCACAACATTAGTCTCAAGTCTCATTTGCCCGAGCGTGCCTGTTTCCTTTTCCAACTTCTACTTCTACTTCTAATATTTTTTTGACTTCTGCCATCATAGGTAATCAAAAAGTATTACTGATTTTTACGTCTTTTGAAGCTTTCTTGTGAACTGCTGATGAGGGCCGACAAGAAAGCTACACATCCGGTATAGTTCTAAGGCCCGAAACCGGTTGTGTGTAAACGCATATACATATATTTCTAAATTTGTATCTTGTCTTCTAGCTCAAGAAGTACTTAGATATAATTACTTCCTTTGTTTCATACAGGTGAAAGCATGCTAATCTGTAATCTACTTGAAGGTAACGTTTAAGGTTGTTACAAAGGAGGGACTGCAGCTAATATTTGTTGAATTTAGAGTAAAATACAAGAACTTACGAAAGCTGAATGATTAGAGAATCACGATTCAGTGACCTTGTCCAAACAGTAAGCTAAAGGTGCTAGGTCTGCGAGCTTTCGCTTCAGGACCCGCCGCGGTTTCCCGCTTTTGGAAGATTTTTGAATTGAGCTAACGATTCTTTACATATTAGAAGCGTTTTCTAATATCCGAGTATGTAGCAGAGTTCGCGCAATTCTCTGAGTTTATACTCCATCATTTATCTCATAACTAATCCAGTTATGTTCAGGTTCCATCGACCATGACTGGCATCATCAGCGATTCGACTCATCAAGCCAAACGGTTGAGTGTTATGGGGATTTTTCACTTATAGCAGCAGCAGGAAGACTGTCTTCGTATGACAGTTCGCACAGTGAATTCGTGCGGATCAAAACACGAATATGATTCATGTTCCATGTCATAATGAGTACTTTACATAATAATAAATGACGACCTCATTATCTCCCTGTGATAGAGATGTTATAGAGTAATACCCATTGCCCCAATGTTCGAATTGCTCCTCTAGATTCATCATGTTGCCTTTAAGTTAGTGTAACTTGGCTTCCAATGCTAAGTGGCGCGTGCTGTCGCGTGCGGCGGCAACAGCAGTCGCGCTACGCGCACGAGCCTTCTGAGCATCGGATTTTATCACTATCTTGTCAAGTGGTAGAAAACATCAAAGTTATAGAAATAGCTGTAAATACTATTCCTGTTCATCAAAATATGTATCTATGCTAAACACACAAGTTGGCATGATTCAGTTCATTGTATATTTCGTTATTTATATTTTCCAAAAATTTGGATTGTGTGTTTTGGGCGAAATGAACATAGGACATAAATTTGTGTTCTGCAGTAACGGAGGTTAGGTATTGATTGGTCATAGTTCGTTGACCGCCCATTTCCTGCTGGACGAGCATTTCTTGTTAGGCGGAAGCGACCTTGCTTGCGGCTATTCCACTAAAGCGCGTAACCTGCGAAATTGTTTTTGAGGGGATTTTCAAGTTTTTTTCCATACAAATCCAATTGCACATCAGCAAACCAGCGAGAGTCAATTCTATTGGAATGCCACAGATTATCTAGTCATTCAAGAATGACGGATATTTGGATTTTTGGACGTATTCGGAATGCACAACATCTACGAATAATTTCACCGCAGGTCATCGTTTTAGCATTAGGGCGCGGCAGACGTCACAAACTTGACGCTATGGCTTGAAACATACTAGCGCCGAGTGCCTATTCGTAACGGTAGCAGAGTGCATAGAGGTTGAAGCAGAGGGTGCTGCTCAGCTTCTCAAAGCTACAATTAGCTGTTTTTGCTTAAATCTACCAATTTCTAACATTTTTCAAGCAGAAAACGAGCGCCTTAGGATACAGACCTCTTTCTGTCCCGATAATAGTCACCAGAAATACACACAAACTTTTTTTACGACTGTATTATTTGGGCACTTTCTGTTATAAATTCAGTGATCGAAATAAGATAAACACAACGTTTCATATCCAGGGCATGATTCCAGCTTTGACTTGAATCATTTGAGCGAATTTTTCCTGGCACACTGGAATTTGACAATAGATATAGTAGTACTTCTTTCCATTACCGAAAGAAATCACACACCCAACAACGAACACCGGTGCTGAATGACAAAAACACGAGATTAGCGAATGTCGAGAACTCTTAACTGTTGACGCATAATCTGTGACCATCACCCCGCTGTCATATCCGGTCGGGGAATGCGAAAGAAAAAGAAGTACGGATATGCTTGCTTAGTGAAACAGGCGTCACAAAGCTCCAGCATTTGTCACAATAGTAAGTTGAATGTGTTTTTTATCCCTCACTAAGTAACATTTTGAGAAACGCAGACAGCACATTGTAGCAAGGCTCGCCTGAGCCCTAAATAGCTGGTAGCTACATCAAAATGAATGCTGATATCAAAATTAATCACAAATCAAGAGAACAACATTTACATTATCAACAACAAAATGAAGCAGTGCCTATGAAAAAAAAACATCCCGGCAGATGTAGCAGCGACGACAGTGCGTAGTTGCGAGCAACTTTCGACGTCTACAAAAGAAGAGAACAGCAATGTTATAAATTGCTCAAACTCTTTACTTAGAAGACGTTATTGAATTGGAACAACTTGTTTTTACGAAATTACTATAAACTTTCCACCACACACGATCAGTTTGTAAGGTAACTATGTCACAGTGACAGTCCGTGATCAAAGCACGAGCAGCGACGACATGCATTTACAGGAAAGCATTATCATTCAAATGAGTGGGAGGCAGAAACGTGATAGTGGATAGCGAGTTGTCAAGTCCGTAATGTCTGCCGCGCTCTAATGCTAAACGATGACCTGCGGCGAAAGTATTGAAAGTATAGGCTGCTGCATGACGAAGGCGCAATCTTTGGGCGCGAACGGTTTTATTAGCCGCAGAGCGCAAATGAGGCACAAGATAAACGTTGAAGATAACGCGCGCAGCGTCGCGCGCGCTCACTTATCAATGCTTCTGCGCCTTCGTCATGCATCAGCCTTTAGATGTTGTGCAATCGAATACTCCGATTTTTGACCTCTCAAAGAACCATTATTTGCAAGCGCAACTCGGTGGACTTACGAGGGAAGGGTACTTGGTGACCGCAACCTTTCGAAGTGGAATGTATACCGCAAGGCCTTCTCGGAATGCTGATTTTGAATTTTTTTTGAAGAAAATTTGCTCCGCCCCTCTAGGTAATAGGGATCATCAGTATCGAACTAGTTTACTGCTTTTTACCAAAAAAATTTTAGGAAGACTAGCGACCCTCAGGGCCGCTAACAGTTTGGCAGCGGCAAACATATCAGCCGTCTAGCTGTTTGGAAGACAACGAATCTCTCTACATTTTATACCTTTTCATAGAATTACATGTGAAAACCCACTTTATGAGGAAGTAAGGTCACAAACGCCGAGGTTCTACAAATCATTCAATAATTTTGAAAGTTCTATCACAACCGTACGAGGATTTGAGAACAAAAAGTTGATAGATTTTCAAATATTACGCCCTCCCATCGAGACTCTCCACAGATTCATTCCTAAATTAAAATTTCCCCTCACCGTGCCTTTTATAAGGTGACTTTCAAGGAGCCCTTCGTGCTGACACTTTATGAAATTATAATGAAAATCGAATCTTGAAAACAAGGTCTTCTTTTCAAAAAAAAAACCATGACAGATCATGATCATAACATTTGCTGGCGCTATCTTATCATAATATCTTGCGAATTCTGAGGTTCTGACTTTCATCTAAGAATTGTTTTGGCCAAATTTTCCTGACAATCTCCAATTAAAGTCACCTCAAAAGCAGTCAACCTCAAAACGGATGTATCGTACAAAAGACTCACTCAAAAAATACCTTCTCAGAAAACTTGGGTGACCAAAATAAATTCTCTTGTTTTCTCATGCCCTCAGCCGTTTACAGATCTTTAATTTTTGTGAAGAACGCTCCACAAACCGCCTACAGAGCGATATACTTGGGAACTTTCCTACAAAAGAGAGAGAAAGCCCTACGAGCCGCCCACAGACCGATATTTATGACAATTTATAAGAGGAAAAAACTGTGATTCGCCTACTTACCAGCCAATATTCGAAGAAAAACTCTATAAGTCTCCTACCTGGCATTTTAAGAAGGAAAACTCCCCTAAGGCCGTGTACACAATGTTATTTTGAATTTGCTCTTCGAGACCTTAGAATAGATCAGAACTTAAACAATATTTTGGGACAAAACTGCCATAAAAGGCCTCCTTATAAAGCAATATTTTAAAAACCAAATTACGTCTATAACCGCGGATTGGTTATAGACGTTATTTCAGAAAAAAACTACCCTTTGGCCCCTGCAGAACTATAATCGGTTATCAAAAGAATTTACCCTATAGGCCGCTTACAGACCATTACACTGGAGAAGTGCTGTCCTATGGGCTGCTCAGAAATCAACAAACTTCTAAAAAAAATATCAAAAAACTGTCCTGTGAGCTTCCATTATATTGAAGAAAAAAAGCCATATGGGCCGCTTACGGACCACCCTTCGAGACTTCGAGAAAAGAGTGCCTGTGCACTGCACACAGACCCATCTTTCAAGAAAGCACTGCCCTTCAAACTCTCAAACCCGCAAAAAATGTTCTAAGAAGCACTTAGAGACCAGCATTTCAAGGGATAACCGCCCTACCTGTCCCCATAAACTAATACTTAAAAAAGCGATGTTTATAGAAAAAGTTATTGCCTTTTAAGAAACTGATGTTTTCAGAAAGGGCTGCCAGCCCCTTCAAACCCATATTTGAAAAAAAAACTGCCCTACGGGCCGTCTACAGACCGCGACCGTTGATTACAATTTGAATGCTTTATGGATCTCTCGCAGACCGGTGTCTTGAGAAAAAAACTGCTACGGGGACACTGCCCTATGAATCCCTACAAACGTGCTCTACAAGCCGCTTGCGAGAAGATCTGCCTGCTCTATGGAACGCCAACGCACGGTTTTTGAGAAAAAATATAGAGGCCTACCCGCTCCTCAAAGATCTATTGTAACAAACCTTGTAACAAACCAATATTTCAAGAAACAACTAAAGAACTGGCCTTTTGTTGAACCAGAGATGGATACTTCAACAGGAAAATGAGAAGTGAGCAGATTATTTCAGCATGTACATGAATTGCGGCTATACAGCATCTCGAAATAGAATGGCATGGGGCTCCAGTACCAAAAACTCAAAACAAGGTTCGAATTCAGCCATACGCGCAGGGTTCAATCTTGCGAAAGAGGGGGGGGGGTACTGTTAGCAACCTTACGAGAGTGTCGGCACCTCCCCACACTATAGCCTTTTGCACTTATAGTCACACCCCTTTCGAAAACATTCCCCGAGGAGGGACGATGCTCACCCCCTACGAAAACACGCTAGCCTTGTTAACAAATCTGGACCTTCCGCACCCACCGCAATCACTCGCCTCAGTCCGCAACTTGTCAACATGTAAGTGCAAAACCTTGCCATCCTTTATTATAGAATGATAACTATTGTACTTGAAAGGGATGTCGCGCTGAGACACATATTTTATATATTTGTCAGCTTCGAACGATGATTCCAAATATGCTACTCGTAGCTGCGAAGACTCACTGATTTTTTTATGCGCGGAAATTGCATGCTCATTTGATGTACTGGGATTATGTATGATTTGTGTGTTAATGCACTGTGTAAAGTTCTTTGTTAACGACAACGGAATTGATCTGTTCTTATTTTGATGGTGCAGCACTTTTTTGGGCAGATTTTGGTTTATAGGCATTCCTTCATGCTAAGTGATACGCCGAATTCGCGCATAAAAAAATCATTAACCGTTTCGGAATAGTGTGCCGCAGCTAGACATAGCGTTGGAATCAGCGTTTGAAACTAATCTCTATATACCATTTGATTTAACTGGCTTGGCATCGGCAAAGACGGGGCTTCATGATTTAATTAAGGCTAAGTGATGATCAGAGAGCACTCGCGCGAGAGAGACGCAGGTGCGTCGCGGGCGCGAGCGGCCTCAATTAGATCACGAAACCCCGCCCTGATGGTGCCAAGCCAGTTGCAAATGTTATATAAAGCAGAAAATCTGTGATTGTGTGTTTGTGCACATTCTCAGTAGTGCAGGATGTGCAGGATGTGCAGGGTGTGCAGAGTGTGCAGGGTGTGCAGGATGGAGAGTTTAGACTGATGGACTGGCTCCAAACCGGTGTGGAACCCGGGATGCCTGCTCCTTCTAAATATTAGGTCGGTGCAAAAGTTTTGTCAGTTTTTTCAATCCATCGGCAAACACGTTAGAATGAAGATAAATTAATACTTCAAAATGTAGCCGATGC